ATAAGAAACCCAGGCCCCCAGTGCAAACAGCTTACTATAAAACATAGATAGCGGATGCAAGATTGCGCTGGGAAAGAAACACAACTGGCCAGTTCTTTATAGGCTGCCTGTGTGTTCCAAGACGTTGGTTTAACATTGAACGTGAGCTAAAGGTCAAGGGTTATGAGGCAAAGTGGGATCGAAGGGGGCTGGGTAAGGCTTGAACTTCCAAGAGGTTAAGGGAACGAGGCGTCTCGGTGTTGGACACCTGACTTCCTGAAGCACCTTTGAAAATCGCAGCAATAATGCATGATAGAGGAAATGCATTTAGGGGACATACCTGGACACCGTCGATCAAGGAACCATTTGCACGCCGAGGGAATCGCTGCTAAATATAGCAATGAGTCGAGTGGGAGGGGCATTGAAAGACCAAAGGACTCAGCACAACATAATTTTGACCATGGTGGGAAGGAGCCACATCCTTCCCACAGCCACAAAAGTGAGACAGAATCATTTGACTTGGTGCAACTCATTGGGTCTGGTGCCCCTTGTGGTTGACTCCATCAGGGCACGTGCTGAGGGAAGATTGTGTTTGCTGCAGTGTGTTGAGTGTGTGGCAGGAAGAGGAATCTGCGTGAGCTGGTCCTGTTTCTGAAGGCAGTTTTGTCTTTTGCAGCCGGGGTCATGAAATGCTTGTCAGTCCTGCTTTTGAGATGAGGCACCTAACTGTGTGTTGTTCTGAACCCACTTAAGAAACGACAAAAGCCAAACCAAGATCAGTGACAGATTATTTTCTAGGGTTGACTGAGCTTTACAAAACAGAGTGCGCGCTCGCATATCCTCTTCTGCATGGCTAAATTCATATGTGTTTAACCGAACATAACATTTGTGTGTGTGTAACACTGAAGTCAAGAGTTGATCATTTTTCTAAAATTGACTAGCCGTAAGTTTTCTAAGCATTTCTCCCCTTGCCCCCAATGTTTTGTCTGGCATTTGCTCTGACTCAGATGAGGAGTTTCTAAGGGTCAGTCGGATAACATATCACAACCACACAGTGTGCTTGTATATTAAAAATTTCTCCAAAGAGGTTACAAATTGGTAGCACAGTGTAATGAATCTCAGCGCTTTTTGTACCATCACAATGAGCTCTTCTCCCTTTGCATATAAAAACGAGGTCACTGGTGTGGAATAGGATTCCCTTTCACACTAAGGGTGTGTCTACACTGCAGGGCCTAACTCGAAATAAGCTACACAAATTGAGCTATGTCAATTGTGTAGTTTATTTTGAAATAGGGAGCATCTAACACAGCACTTATTTAAAAACAGAGCACTCCTCCTCCGACTTTCCTTATTCCTCGTACAATGAGGGTTATAGGAGTCAGAGAAAGAAGTCCTCCATCTTGACAGTATTTTGACACTATTTCTAAATAACAGCTTGCTGTGTAGATGTGGACTAAGTTATTTTGGAATAGAGCTAGTTATTTCGAAATAGTGTTGTAGTGTAGACGTACCCTAAATGTGTAATTATATCTCTAGAAGTCTTTGCTTACTATCAAATCACAGCAGCCTATTAAAAAAAAGTGCCCAGCCTAATCTTAAATAATCTGGATCCAATCCTCAATTGGTGTAAACTGCGGTAGGTCGAATCAGGACGAGTTGATGGATTCTTCACTTTGACTGTTAGCGCTGTGTGGTTTGTTAACAAGGTTGCATGGCTATTCTTTCTGCTCCCTGAATGAATGACTGGAAGAGATGAAGATTGAAAAATGCGTTTTTCCGCTGTCAGTTTGTGGATGACACTTTGAGAGGTTGCAACACTTTCACTGAGATGTCTGAACACTCACTCAGTGCCAGATTCTGTCTTGAAGTGAAGCATTAGAGCTTGTCAACAAACTTGTGCCAAAAGTCTGTCTGGGGGAAATGGCTTTTTCTTCGCCTGCGTGAAAATGTTTGCAAAAGAATTCACTCAAACCAGTCTGAGTCTGGTTTGACAAAAACACTAAACAATGTTCAGTTTTTGCAAGCCTAATTTTTTTTCGAAAGTAAATGTGCCATCCTCAGATTTTTTTTTTTTTTTGTGAGTTCGGAGAGGAGAGAGGACTTGGAACAAGTTTCAAAAGACCTTCCTCCCTTCAAATTTCCTTTTTCAAAATGTCTCACAAGAAACAACCAGCATTTTTTTTCCAATTCTAGCTACCTATATGGGTTGGCTCCAGAAGCATAAAGGTAAGAAAGTGTCTGCTTACTCCCTCATAGGAGCAGGTGAATGGGAATATTTCGGGCCAAGGGTGTTCTTTGCTTCGACTCACTTGCTGGTCATTACAGCTGAGCTGGTACAGAGAGTCTGGTCATTTATTATTAATATAAGCCAGCAGCAAATTACTATGTGCATAATGAAGCAGGAGAGACTAGCGACTTAAAGTCTGAGTCACAATGCCTTCTGGACTATGGCTGTTGATGTTATAACTCTTGCTCAGAGTTCTGTCTAGAGACAGTAGCTAGCCCACATGACTATGGGTCATGTAAAATAATATGACCCATAAGTTACATCAAACCGGACTCAACACTTATATTTTTAATGGAAAAACGTTCATATTTTTCCTTAGCTGATCAGCTGTAGTCTATGTCTTGCTGCTTCCCAGCTCAAAAAGACAAATAAAACCCCTGTATACCTCTAATTGAAATCTGTGCTTTAATAAATAATCATTAAAACACTATCTGGCTACCTGAAAATGAGTTTTCATTTGTAGAGTTCTAGGACTAGTCAAATATTTGAACATTTTGAAGTTTGACCCCCTTCCACCAATAAAATGAAATAAAACCTCCCTTTTTAAGACCATACCAATAAATGTGGAGGCTAGAAGTGGTCATTATTATCATGTATTGTGGTCTACCAAATATTACTGCATCTCTCATAAAAACTTGAGGTTGAACCTTTCTGTAAGAAAAAACATCTAGTGTTGATCTAAAGATTTCATGTGGTGGCAAATTTCCCACAGTCATTGGTAACCTGATGTAACAGTCAATTGCACCTGCTGTTCAAAATAAGCCTCTTGCTGCCCTAAAGTACCTACCTAGATCCATCAAGAACAGAAGAAATACACAATAAAGCCTATTTCGAGCTTCAGAAATTTCAGGCCATTCTTTTTACAGTACAAAAATTTTATTTTTTTTGTTAGGATAATTTAAAGTTTAAAACTGAAGTAGACATATTCATTTTACAAACAAGATATTCTTCAATAAGTAGGACCATTAAAAACAGTAAACAAAAAAAGCTATCTTTACAAAAAGCTCTGTGCATAGCAACTTCATACCGTATATAATAACTGACAAAGCAAAAAAAAAAAAAAAAACCCAAAATAAATGAACTATACAATTGGGAGAAATTATTTTACAAAAGGGAGAGAACGGTCTTTAAAAACCATGCATATTGAAAATGTGCAAAGAAATAGGGAGAATAAAGATGCTATAACAAGATAAATAATGAAATAAAACATACTCTTTGAAAGTTATGATAAAATTTGTAACTACCTATCGCAACACATGTCTTTCTAGTGTCAAAAGAAAAGGAAACTTGATAGAGAATTCTTAAACAGCAATGACTAGAAAAAGGACTGATTAGTTTCCTTTTTTTAAAAAAAAATCCTTACACACAAATTTACACATTTTTTTTATTTTTGCCACTGCCAAAGTCCTTGTTTCGTGGTTGTTTTTTATTTACACGTTTTTCCACATGAAGCTACCAACAAGTTGAACAAGACACTTTCCATGCATGAGCAAAATTCATATTCTAAATCATTGTCATGTTAATTTCATTACTTTTAGACAGCTCAAATCAAGCTAAGATGTCCTTTTTGTTCACTTTGTGGGCAGCTACATTTATAGGTCTCTTTCTCAAGGTACTTGAGAGAGTCTTTCAGGGACGTTTTCCTTAGGTCTAAATTGGACACCTGACTTTCCAAGTAGAGAGAATGACTAGCAAATAGAGTTCATGAAAATAATGTCTTTAAATACCACATGAATTTTGAAAATTTCAGAAGCATTTGTTTTAAATGGTCTGATTTTCTTTTTCTCTGAACTTTCTGAGAATTTAATCTTTTTTTTCATTTTTAGAGGAGGCAGTATTTTTTTTCAATATGTCTAAGATGACTGATCAATAAAAGGACATTTTGAATAATTTGCAGGCTAGTATTTTCATGACTTGTTTCCAATGAAAATTTTTGAAAAATAGAAACTTTTTAATACTTTTTTTAATTAAAAAATTTCAATAGCACCAACTAGCAAGCAGCTACTGCTCAGCATACTGTCTAGAAATCCATATCCAGGATTTTCATGGTGCACAGAAGTTTTAAGACTGCCACAGTCTCCTTTTGATAGCAGACAATTGGCAATATTTGAGGGTAACCAATGAGAATTATTGGAGAAGTGAAAACAGGGACATGCACATTTATGCACTTGATGGACTTCAGCATTTTTGGGAGAGGCCCTGAATGACGGATGGACAGTGAGGGGTGAAAAATACCCCGGGTGAGTTTCATCCGTCTTTTGGCAAGGCAGGGATTCATTGAAGTCAATAGGACTTTTGACTTCGGTCCTTATAGCCCTCAATGCATATTTTCGGTGTACACAAGGAAGCCTCAAACATCAATCTTCTAGTCTCATTGTGATATTGATATCTCTGAGTATACAATGATTAGATTGTTTGTGCTAGATAACAGTCACCAGGCTAGTCAGACTGAGGGTGAATGAGTGAATTTACGATAGTTCATGCTTTTCCTCGAGACTCCTTACCACATAAGGTCCTTTCACCTTCTGCAGATCATTCAGTTTCATGAAGAGTTCACTCCCAGATGGAGAGAGCGGCACACAAGGATCTGCAGAGGCATTCATCCTTACAATCACATAACTTTATTTTACCTTCTCTGGAATTCAGACACTGTATCTAGTCCAACTGCAAGACTTTGGTTAGCTCCATATTCCTGATGCTGCTCCTTAAACACCAAATAGGCCCTAAGGATGCTGCTCCTTAAACACCAAATAGGCCCGACCTATTCTCTCCTGGAGGGTGCATTTAATTGCCAGTTGTGCTGCTCTTTAAATGGGGGCGTTGATTTTAAAAGAAAATAAAAAACCTTTTCAAGGTGGATTTCATGCCAGTGAAAAGGCACCTCACAAATCATCTATCAAACAGCCCCAGCATCTCCCTCTTCTGGTTCCGAGTTCTGTCCCACAGGGATCATTTGAGTTTACCTGGCCTCTCTGCCGAGCTGCGTGCTAAGTAAGAGCCAGATCCTGCAAACTCTTAGGCACGTTCAGTAAATTTTGTCATGCGCGCCTGATACTGCTCTACACTCTATAAGGATAGAACCGCCTGGTGGATCAGCCCTGGTGCAGTACAGTGCAGGATCGGGACCATAACTAATCTATCCCATTGACTTCACTGGAATTATTTACATGAATAAAGTTGCCCTGGTGTCTGTTTTTTTAAGCATATGGTCCTACGATGACGGTTCAAGATTAAAACACCTGTCCACTAGAGACTAGACTAAGATCTATGAAGTCAGGACACACAGTAGCTTTCAGTTCCTAATAACCTGAGCTAGATTTGAGGCTTTATAGCCTATTTTTAATCCACTCCCCAAACAGAAATACACATTAGCTCAGCACAACCAAAGTGTCAAGAATGCCTACCACCCCAGCCCACTGTTGCTTTGCTCACCTGAAATGATCACAGAATAAATTAATGATGAGTCTCCTTGGTGAATGGGCAAATCAAATTTTGGCTGTCACGTTATCTTAAGGATGCATTTATAAATAGCAAAATAAATTAGTAATGTTACAGGAATGTCACAACCCTAAGCGGCGTGCATTAAGGATGCTTAGAGCTGCTTAAAAAATTTTCTGTGAAAAGCAGCACTTCCACAAAATGGCCATTTTCATGACTGTTTTCATCAGGAAACCAACGAATGTTAATTTATGTGTGTTTCCCTTCCCCTTGTGATTTGGAAACAGAACATGGAAAATGAATCAAGTTGGTTTCTTCATTGAAATTCCAAAAAATTTGAACCAAATAAATTTGTGGTGTTCATTAAAAATGCTAAGGATTGTTTGATTAAAACTAGTTCTAGTTAAAAAAAGAAGGTCAGTGGATTCCACAACAATTGAATGGCCATTTACTCAAAGATCCTAATTAATGAACTACATTAAAGACTTTGAAGCATTTTCTGACTTACTGATGAAAAGTGCTGTATCACAGTTAGGGGGGATTATTAATTATTACTGTTACATACCCCTTTATGAATGCACCCTTAATATAAAATATAATCGTATTTTGTACGTCTGCCATAGTATCATGGAAAACTATGAGAGAACCGTTTCGATCCCCCTCCTGTTCATAGGAGAATTTCAAAAAATAAACTCATTTTCACCTAAAAAATCTGATTTGTTCAAACACTTAGAAGCCATTCATTTGCCAATAGGGTCTTTGAAACTAGCCACCTTATACCAGTACCTTAAAATTTTAACTGAAGCAAAAGATGGAGAGGAAAAAGCTGCGGATAAAATTCTTACATTAACTACTGATTGATATATATATATATATAGTAGTGTGTGTAAAAATTTGTGATGCGTTAATTGGAAAGAATCCTATACATCCTTGCACATGGTTCAATAGGGGGCTAAGGAGAGAAGTGAAGGCCTACGGCAGCAATAATCGTACGTCTCTTAAAGTTGTCACTACATTTTTGCATCATTTTTTCTTCATTGTACAACCGGAGGAAAAAGTCCAAAAATGGTCTTAATTGCTACCTCTACATACAATAAGTTACAAGTTTATTTAAATAATTGTAAAACATCTTACATTTTTAAAGAGGTTAAACTATAGATAAACACACACATACATCAAAGTTCCATCATTCATGTCAATTTGTCCTAGAAATTCTTCCATGCTGGTACCCTGTTTTGTTGTTTGTTTGTTTTTCTGCATAAACTAAATTGGTATTTGAAAGACTCCATAGAAAATAGAAACTTCAACTTTTTTTCCCCTACAAAGTAAAACAAATAGTATCCAAAATAGCGAGCTTGAATCATTTGCCAATTTTTTCTTTTTAATATTTTACAAACGTTAGGAAGGTTTCGTGTCCATCAAAAAAGACCTTGCGTTTCTGACCCCATCATGCCAACTGCTGTCCAGCCTGGCTTGGCTAACTCTTTGTTTGCAATGTTTTAGGAGTTGACATGGCTACATAAGAAACATGGAACAAGTAAAAGATCCAGACTCCTATCTTGTCCAATTTGTAACAATTGTTCCTTTTTTTTCTGGGTGTGGCTTTCCCCCAAAAAAGAGCTCGTAGTGCTTCTTTTTTTTTCTTTTTAGTGGTCCATCACAATAAGTAGTTTTGTGCTGTAAAAGAAAAATGAAAAACGAAACAAAAAGAGCAAAATATCCTCTTCTTTTACATCGGGGGAACGACAAGACCAGTCATGGCTGAAAATGAAGATTGACAAGGTTGAAACTTTGGCAGCTGTTTTATCAATGCAGAATTGTGAGCCACCCTTCAATAGAGACATAGACACGTGAGTCACTTCCTCTCCCACATGTGATCGAGTATCCTCATGGCAACTATCGGTGGAAAAGCACGACTAGGCAAGCTAGTCATCGTAGAGTTGAAGGCCAGAAGGGATGACCAGATCATCATGCCTGACCCTCCTGTGAATCACAGGCCATCAACACCCATACACTAAACCAGAGGAACTGAAAGTCTTGTTGTGCTCTTGGGCAATGGGGGAGAGGAGGGAGCAGGTCTGTGCTCCCAGAAGTGGCGGGACCAAGGGCAGCCAACCTTTAGCGCCCCCTGGGCTGCAGCACACCTCCCTCTCCCCCGTCTCCCTCAAAGCCACTCGGAGCACAGTATCTGGCGGTGATTTAAAGGGCCAGCGCTCCAGGCTCTTTTGAATCACTGAGCCCCAGGGCAATTGCTCCCTTTACTGCCCCTGTCAGCGGCCCTGCACTAAACACGGGGGACTCGATTATTATGCGTGCCCCTGTCAGCGGCCCTGCACTAAACCGAAGAACTGAAATTAGACCAAAGTATTACACCCCACGGGGGACTTGATTATTATGCATCATAGGCAGAGACGAGGCGGGACTAAGGTGCACCTCCCCTCCAAAACTTTCTGCTTCTTTTAGTGCCAGTTAGCAGCTAGAAAAGAAGATCTAGCATCTGTTTTCCCGCTCAGCTTGCCAAAAGTGACGAATGAGCCACTCCTCTAGAATAAACGCCTCCCAGGGTTCTTCCCCACTTATGTTCTGTTGGCTGAATGAAGGGAGTTGGTGGCCTTCGTGAGATCCTTTCTCAGGGCCCAATTTTCATGGAGGGGGGTGCTCAGAATTCCCTGAAAATTGGCCCCCTTTAGGGTGTCTCAGGTTGGGCCGCCTACATGGTCGAAGCACAACTCAAAACGTAGGCTCTGATGTCAAAACAGACCACGGCCACCGGGTCCCAGGGTGAGCAGACATGGCAGAGTGGCCAGCCCTGCTTGGATCCCTTCCCAACGGGAATCAGACCTCCTAGCAGGCTCTGCTTTCACGTAAGTCCTAGTGAGGCCGACAGTGAATTCTCCAGCTTTGACCTTGTTAATGACTCATTTTGAATTAGTGCTGTGCACATGGTTTACTTTTTCAAAAAGAGCTCCTTTTAAGGGTGCCTAGTCAGATGATGAGGCTTATGCAAGCATATTGGCCAATGGAGTGGAAGGTCATCCATCTTTCTTTCCATGTTACACATATAGAAGTGATTTGGCTGTGACCAAGCAGCGGTAACATGGCAGCAAATGGGCGGTAGACCCTAAACACGTACAGGATCTGGGCCAATTCCCAATTCATCTGAGAGTGAGCAAGGGATTGTATTCACTTAGCTTCAGTAGAAGTCATACACCAGCCTTTCCTTTGTTCGGTTTACCCCCTTTGTTTCAATTGCTGTCGTTACCGGGCATGCTCCCAGAACACTGGACACATGTGAATTATTTACTAGTCACTCTCACCAGCTTTAATTGCAGCTGTATCTTTCCTAACGGACAACTGGAGCAGTTTAAGCTGCCAGGAATTGGTCCTGTTCCCAAAGGCATCACTGGGCAAGGTTTGTTTTGTTTATATATATTTAAAACAAAAGCCAATGGGTTGTATTTTCCAAGGGGCCTTCCTGCAGTGTAAAGCCTTAATCCCACAAAGATTTATGCCCACTGAAATCAGTGAGATTCTGCATGTACTTAAAGTCCCATCTTTCCAGAGCCTTACATTTCACCCTTATGTTTGTGTTAAAATAAACTGCAAACATCGGGGATAAGCCTCTGATTTTTGTGGAGCGATGTTGATTTTAAGCAGCTGGATCTAGGCCCACCATTAGGATCATTTAGCATGATGTGCAAATAAATGTTTTTTTGTATTCAGAAATGATGATGAGGAATAAATCTACCCTGCAATTTTAGGGCACAGAGCCAGAAAGAGAGAGTGAAACTGACCAGTCTAGATTAATTGTCCATGCTGAGTCTCTTTTAAAAAAAGGCCAAAGAATTCCTGATTTGTAGTGCTAATGTAGCCATCTTGGTCCCAGGATATTAGAAAGATTAGGTGGATGAGGTAATACAGGTTGAATCTCTCTAATCCAGCATTCTCTGGTCCAGCAACATCTGTGGTCCAGCATGATTTTAGTTTGCAGGATGTCCACTTACCATGGGTATGACCAAGTTTCCCATGGTCCTATAAAGTTGGTTTACAGCCACCAGTCCGACTCTCAGTATTCTGTCCTGTTATTTAGCTCTAATTGACTCCTAAATGTCTTCTAAGAGCCCAGGAAGCAGTGGCAGTGCTGGTAATGCTGCTAGACAGAACTGACCTCCTCTGGTTTGGCAAATTCTCTGGTTCGGCACGGGTCAGATCCTGAGAGTGCTGGACTAAAGAGGATGGTCCATGCCACAGCTTGAAACAGGCACCAGAAAACCCTGTGCATTAACAAGTCCCTTCTCCTTCCCCATGTAGAAAAGAAAACCAGAGCTGGGAGCATGTCTGCACACACCAGAGGCACTGGTTAAATGAATGGAAGAATGGCTGTAGGCAAAGTGTCAGTGGTTGAATCCGTTTAACATTGGACCTTTAGTTAAACTGATGCAACTTTGGGTGTAGATCAGGCCCTGGATTCTTTTTAAGGCGGGAGAGCTGTCAGAACAGGGATTTTAACAAAATTCATTATTATTTTTATTTTAAAAATAAAAGTAGAAAAAGTGAATAAGTTATTTACTTATTCCCGCAATAAAAGAACCAGGGGTCACCGAATGAAATTAATATGCAGCAGGTTTAAAACAAACAAAAGGAAGTTTTTCTTCACTCAGCGCACAGTCAACCTGTGGAACTCCTTGCCAGAGGATGTCGTGAAAGTTAGAACTTGAACAGGTTTCAAAAAAGAGCTAGATAGATTCATGGAGGTTAGGTCCATCAATGGCTATTAGCCAGGATGGGTAGGAATGTATCCCTAGCCTCTGTTTCTCTGGAGGTGGGTGACAGGAAAGGGATCATGTGAGGATTATCTGTTCTGATCCCTCCCTCTGGAGCATCTGGGCCACTATTGTCAGACAGGATACTGAGCTAGATGGACCTTTTGTCTGACCCAGTATGGCTGTTCTTACGTTCTTATGTTCTAAAAAAGGCCGTATAATCCAGTGGATTGGGCTAATATTTTTACTGAGCCAAAGGGCAAGCATGCCAATTAAACCCTATTCTCCTAGTGGTGGGCCGAACTCTAATCACCCCTGACCTTTCATCTGAATCTTGCACCTCCAGCTGCCTTTGTGACAATGAGAAAGTAGATTCAAGAATATTTTCTAACTCCCCCCTTCTTTCCATAGCTCATGAAACAGCTTAGATCTGCTACTCACTCCTTTGCTCCACCCTCTTCCCCTCCCCCCACTTCCCTTTGGGGCTGTGCGCCAAAAGCCTATTTCCCAGCCTGTACTACTTTTTATTGAATGTTTGTGAGGTTTGGATTAAGGTCTTACACTGCTAGCAAAGCTGTAATTATTTTTGCCTGTATTACTATATATTGAATCGATGTAACTTTTCAATAAAGGTGGTTCAATGCAGGACACTCCCTGATGAGTTGGGAATATAGAAAGCACAGTCATTATCTCTGAGGGGCTTTTTTTTCTTGGAGGGAAATGGAAAAAGAATTAGAGATGAGCCTTATTGTATTAGCCTTGACAGCTTGCAATTATCAAGTGAAACACTTGATTAAAATTGTCGCGACGGAGAATTTTATATAGATCTATGAATCGAACACTGATCGCACCCAGATCCTAGGGTGAGCGGCTCCTTCAGTGTGTGTAATTAATATCAGACACTACACAGCCGTGACCCCTTTAAATTTCTTCCTGCCTTGCAGGGAAAAGAACTCTGTGTTCCTCGTGGAATTCACCTCGCAGGCTAGGAAGGATTTTAAAGAGGCAGGAGGGTTTTATGAATGCACCCACCCGCACAAACCAGATTTTCAGAAACAGTTAGTGATTTTTAGGTGGTCAACTTGAGAGCCCTTTAAAGGGGTGGGCGCTCCGCCCTTTCTGAAAAACTGACCCCTGGTAAAGTATTTCAACTTAGGCACCCATGATTTCTGGCCATCTGAAAGTGTATGTAGAAACCCTTTTGTAAAGGCTTGCGATTTCAGAAGCAGTAAGCTCTTAGTTAATGAGAGTTATCTGTGAGAGTTATCAGTGAGAGTCAATGAGAGTTATCAGTGCTCATACCTATGAAAATCAGAGGCCAGGGAGATAAGAACTGGTACATGTGTGTGTGAGGCTGAGAAGGGGGTGTTTGATAGGTGTAGTGCTCTTCATAGACTCATAGACTTTAAGGTCAGAAGGGACCATTATGATCATGTAGTCTGACCCCCTGCACAGTGCAGGCCACAGAATCTCACCCACCCCCTCCTAGAATAATCCTCTCACCTATATCTCAGATATTGAAGCCTTTTGGTTGGGGCAGGAGGGTAGAGGCCAGAGAGAGGCTGGGGACATGAGCAGGTTGCCCAGGTGACTTTAATTCTGGCACTTCTGAATTGTTGGGTGCTTGATTTTGCAACTTTAACATTATTCCAACATAGTTTTTTGGATGCAATACATACATTTACTCTTATTTTAAATATAAAATGTTCCTTGCTGCACTGCTCACCCCAGCTTCTTTGCAGTTACCATGGTAGCTTTTTGACCACAGCCTAACCTAAGCAGTCCAAGGTCTAACAAGTTCTTAGGCCAGGATTACACTAGACCGGAAGCTCAGTTTAAGATATGTAACTCCAGCTACATAGAATACGTAGCTGAAGTCGACTTACCTTAAGCTGAGCTTGGTGGGGTCTCCACAGCGGCAGACCGACAAGAGCAAATGCTCCTGTCAGCTTTCCTAACTTCTTGCAAAAGCAGGACTACTGGCTGCCAGCAGGGGCA